ATGATCAGTTAGTTGTTCACCCTCATATATATATAGTTACCCGAGTTGAAGGAATTTAGTTGCTTCTGTGGTCTGCAGAATAAATACTATGATGGAATTCGATATAATGATTTGGTAATAATATCATCACTGAGAATACCATTCAAACACGAGTACACAGGCAGCAAAGAGAGCTAGTGTATCATTATCAGAGTACTATAGTCACCATCTTTTCTGCATGGGCAAAAAGTAACATTAATATTTTATTGTGGCAACTATATTTACACGAGTGATATCCTTAGTATTTTCTCCGCGTGCAGAAAATGCAGTTTTGTAAAAATATCTGAAATATAATCGGGCTCGTGAGGCTCCTTTGTCAGTACGAAAATTAGTCAGGCAGGTATTTCATAATATGTGGATGACTTAATAACGCGGGCGAGCATTCTGCGCCCTCTGCGGTAGTAGCAAATACAATTAACTGACGGTGATATTTGAATTCTTAACCGATGGGACATGGGAAAAGATTTACAGAAGACCTACTGATCAAGAGATATTAACCACTCGTAATTGGTAGGCGAGATCGTGTTCGATATAACTGAAAATTTGAAACGCCGGCATAAAACAGCTCTATTATGGACAGCTTTTAACGTCAACCGCAACTGCGGACCTCTAGCAGGCAGGTATTATTTCTTTATTCTGTTACTCTAAACAACAGGTCGTTTCTTTGTATCTTCGAGTGAACAAGCCTTTGTACCTTTGAGTGAACAAGCCTTGACCCTACTTTGTCAAAAGAAAAAACGTATATATGTCAACGCAGGTATGTCATCGGTCGGTCTACCTGTAGCTTCAAAAAAAGTTAAAATGCTTTCTTTTCACAGTTTGTCACAATATATTATCGATGGGATTAAGATTATTACAAATGATCTTTTACAACACATAAGTTAATTTACTACACAGGAGTTATAAATAAGAAGAGGGCCAAATATTCACAATTTCTTTTTCTTTCATTCTATAGAAGTTATTGTAAAACTTCTTTACATATTTGAAGAGCTTTGTTAATACAATAGCTACAGTGGTCGAAGCGGACTCAAAAATGTATCCCGCAAAGAAGGCAGACAGGTAAATTTAATTATAAAGAAGTAAAGGAAGACTGTTTGCAGACGCGACGCTTATTAGGACTATTGACTTGGAATTACTCTGATGACTAGTTCAAAAACACTTCTCACATGGAAGGAACGCAGCCAGGCGTCTGACTAGGGAAGTCAGATCGTCGGATCGCGAAGAGGTGGCGACTCTCTTTCCCAGGTACCTAAAGCACTTTACTCGTCCCATAAATGGAAAATCCTCGTTCCTTCAAGCGAAGGTGCAACGTAATAGGGAGGAAGGGAGAGAAAGAAATAAAGTAGGAAAGGAAGGAAGGAAGGAAGACTTTTCTCTTTCTAGAGCTACCGGTATTACGATATCAGCTCGCGGGGGTTCTTAAACCATCACGCCATGTCCGGTTTTTCCTACCGAAGTCGCCACCAAGAAACACGTGACTGCATTTTACGTATACTTCACGGATGACGTGTACGAATAGAAGAACATCCGCGCTTCCATTAGGCAAAGGGCATGGCGAAGTTATCCTCGCGTGTTATCCACGATCGAGTGTTTCCATTAAGACACGTCGTGAGTTACGCGATCCGACGTCTCGTCGGAGGAAAAGTCGAATAGGTGAAAAAGTCGTAACAATAGACTTTCATGGTTGCTTTCATGATTATCACAATGTGAGACAATCGATGGTGGAGACCTTAGAATTTTTTTATCATGTTTAAGTGAAGTAAATGTATTGAATTAATTATTAAATTTACATCATACGATAACGTGCATTTTCTGTCGTATCGATGCAGCAACAAAATTCACTCAAAGTTACACTCAAATTTTCATATTACATCTATCATGATATATTGATTCGAGCGAGTCTTGACCATCATTTCCCTATTTCTTTCGTTCTTCTATTTCATTCTACGTGATAAGTATAAATGCAATCTGATCAATCTGCATATTTAAAATTCCTGTAAAGCATACGTCCATCGATAGAGAAAGAGGAAGGAGACTCGCTGGAAGAATTCGCCGGTAGAAGGGCGGTAGAAGGGCGAAGGGCGCTCTTAATTGGCCGCGATTAATAATTATTGAAATCTGCTGCGGGACTTGCGGGCTATTATGCGCGCCGCGGTGGTTACCATAATTGCATAAAGAGCCTACCGCCACCGTGGTTGATTAATGCGATCGGCGATAGTGCGAGCGGCAGTGCGAGCGAGGTGGAAACACAGCCTTTCGTCGGGACACGTCTCGAGCGAGTTCTCGTTTTGTTCATCGCGTGTATATTCCGATGGGACTCTTTCTCTCTCTTTCTCCTTTTCTATGATAATGACGGCACGATTGCGCTTCTTGGCTTTCCAATCGCACGGTTAATGCGCGACAAGATATCTCTAAGCAGATTAATTTGTTTTCCCACTTTTGTTTGCCCCGCTTGTACGTTTAAGCGCGAAGGAAACCGAACGCGCGTTCGCGACGTTACACGCGAGTCCATCGCGTTATCTTTCTTTCCCTCTACTGCAATTACGCTTACACCTTGTCGCATTGAAGCGCCTCTTCTTGCTAATAAGTATATAATAATCATAGTTCCTAGTAATATAATATATAGCAACTTAGTAACAACAAAATGCTCGGCGCGCACGATACTCCGTCACGGATACGCGCCGCTTCTGCCGCGCGTTAATTTGCGAAATATCGCGTTAATCGCGAGCACGGCCCAGACGAGAGATACGAAACGAAAAGCGCGGCTAGTCGCACGCGTTGAGCAACGATCGTGCTACCAAGAGGCCGCGTTCCGTGAACGTTTATCTGCGCGCGGGCGACTGATTTATTATAAGTAACGACGATAAACGGCGAGTAATCGCGGCCTAATCGGCCGGCAATTAACCTCGAGTTTCCAATTAACGAAGTAAGCGGCGATCGTATTTTTCGCAAGACCTCTGAGCAACGACCAGCCTGATTGGTCACTATTCTACCCCTTTGCATACTCCTCCCTCAGCAAAGCAGGGTAAAACACTCAATTATTGACGTATCCTTTATAGTAATTGACATTTTAGGAAAACTTGATTTTTCTGGCGACTAGCGAGAGTCTGTTCACAGTTTTAGCTGTAAAGATCTTTTTAAAATCATAGACAAATTCAACTGCAATGCTGGCCGCAAGTAAAACCAAGTTTTCCTAGAATGTTAAAAGTGGACTAACAAAGGAACACCGCGAACCCGAACTCTTTGATTTGGATATACTTTTGTGAATATGTAGAGTCATCAATACATGAAAAACGGTATATTCCATTTATGTCCTATCGCTATTTAAAGCTATGATTTACACTTTCAAAGTAAAAAGGATGATTCCACTTTTTCGTGTATTACTCTTAAATTAAAGGAGATAGAAAAAATTTTTCGAATAAAAATTTAATAATAAGTTAAATGCTGTAAATTAACATAAGCATAAATAAAAAAATATCTATAACAATTTTTTTACAATAAAAAAGATATTTTTTTATTTATGCTTCAATTTACAGTACTTAACTTATCATTAAACTTTTATTCGAAAAATTTTTTATATCAATTACAGTACTTAACTTATCATTAAACTTTTATTCGAAAAATTTTTTTCTATTTCGTTTTACTTAAAAGTAATACACGAAAGAGTGGAATTGTCCTTTTCACTTTGAGAATATAAATCATACTTTTAAATAGCAATATAAAATAGGACACAAATGAAATATACCGTTATTCATGTATAGATTTACTCTACATACTCACCAAAGTGTATCAAAATCAAAGAGTTTGGTTTCGCAGTATTCCCTTGTAAGAGCCAATATTGGCCATTAATTGGTCAAAACTTTCTTTGACTAAAGTAACCGGTAAATTGGTAATCAGAATTATTGATTGGTATATATGAAATAAAAGAATGATCAATTACAACAGAACAGAATACTATATCTCCTTTACAAAATCTTATAGCAATTTTTACTATAAAATTCTCTCCGTATGAAGATACATGGATATGCGTCAAAGCAGATGTCAATAATCGGATGCTTTCACCCTATCATCGAACGCTTTCGTAGTGTCTCGATGCGGCGCCGACGGTGAGACATATTTGCAAATATTAGCCGTATAAAATTCAACTGTATCCCACCTCATTTTGCTTACATTGCGGTGTTTCACGTTCCGTTGCCGGCTCCGACACGAGAGAGTTGGGGAGCTGTACACGCAAGGGTTATACCGCTAATTCCATAACAACAAGAATTATATCGAAAGCAGGACTCTGGACATCGAGACACGCACGGAACAAACCGTGTGGAAAAAAGCTTGCGCGCGAGCGAGCCAAAAAGCCTCGAACGGTGTACCGAGGTAGTCCATAAGTCAGACTCAAGGCGGTGCGGATACCCGAAGATATCCATGAGGAACGACCCGGCGCGCCTTCTTATCCACGTCCGATCTGGTCGGACATTATAGGTGCTCGACAAGGTGGAAAGGAGACGCCAACGCCGAGCGTCGGCCAGCTCGAGGAGGAAAGACGGAGATCGAGCGCTCGCTCGCGACGGCGGTGGCGGCGGCGGCGGCGGCGGCGGTGGTGGCGGCGAAGGAGACGCAGAAAGAGCGAAACGCCAGACAGGGAGGAAAAGAGAAGAAGAGAGAAAGGGCGGGTGAAAAAAGATTTTATGAAAATCGATCCCGGGTGTGGAAGTGGTCGCCGCCTCTCGATCGCGGGCCCCAGGTTTCCACACGTGAACGTGGTTTTGCTCCGCCCCTGAAAGTAACCGCGGTCGGGTCCGGAGAACCGCCTAGTCCGGTCACCTTGGTCGGAACCAGAAGCATGGAACGACCCATCGGTCCCTCCCCGGTCGTGCCTGTCCTCGTCTGTTTCTCTCCCTCGGTCCCTCGCCTCTTCATGTCGGACCCATCCCTGCTCCGAGAAGTCTGACCCTACTCGACCGGCATCGCCGTCGCCTCCCGCACCGCGGCTTCTCCTCGTCCCGCTACTCCAGCTGGAGAGGTGACTGTCCAGGACAGTTTCAAAGACGCAGTCACCGGCTGCACCACGTCCTGGAGGCAGTCCCGTGTTACCTCACAGACACACGCCCGCGCACACAAACACCGGTGTGAATTCGAGATAAGTGCGCGCTTTCCGAGGATCGGAAGAGGCATGTGGCTGACAGACTGAACGGATATCTGGACAGATCAATATCGAAGATACCAGAGTGATCCGATTTCCGCTTCGCCTGAGGTATCTTCTGATGACTCAAGGACTCGCTTATGACTTCACGGTGATCTTGGAAATTGTTGGGCTGTTGCCGTCCAGCTGGCGGCGGACGGAAGTGACTGATATGTTTTGAGATAGTGGAGGAAGTGCTGCCTCGCAGCTAGTTCTGTGACGAGCGTGTTGGTGGACAGTGGTGAAGGATACACTCTGAAACTCGACGGTGACTCGAGCAGGACGTTGCGGCGAGGATCAATTGGATACCAATCAAGATCAAGTGGAGAACACTGGTTATTGGTGGGTAATCATAGGTTACGTTATCAGGGGTTTTCGCGCGGCTGACGACCTGCCGATTGAATTAAATTCCCGCCTCGAGGGCACAAGTGAGACGGTTGCACTAGTTGCATAGGATTCTCGGCTCGACTAACTATTCTGGTTCTGCTAGATCAGAAGCTCTTGGCTTCTCGAAGCTTCTCGAGAAACGAGAAGTCTAGACAGAAAAGAGACTGTCGCTTAAGGAGATCTTGAGAAACAAAAAAGTCTAGACAGAAAGGAGACTAGCATCACTAAGAATGATGTTTATGAAATATAAAGGAGAGATGTAACATGTCAGAACGGATATCCCTTCGAAGAAAGGAAATGGCCTGATTGTGATCTCCGTTCGGCAGGTAAAACTTAGAGGACTTCTCATTGTTCAGGTGACTGAACGAATTCTCGAGCTAAAGTTTGTGATTTCTTTAATGACTCGGGAATGGACTATAGATAATTAATGTGAAGCGAATGAGAGGAAGTTACAGCTGAACGAGAGTGCTCGATCTAGTGCAACGTTGAGCAAGTGTTCGTCCCGTCGGAGACCTTAACAGCGTCGAAGCAGTATGGGACAAATCGGTCGCGAATGCACGGACACTTTTCAGTTCAACAATTTGCATTACTAGAGTCATCAGCCGTTTGCCAGATAAAGGGCAGCGTCAATTATTTGATCGTCAAGGTACACGAGTCAGGAAGAGGAGGAAAAAGTGAAAAGTGACACGCGAGAAAATACTCGATCGCTCAGATAGACTGAAAGAACACACGATTGTGCGTCTGCTAAATTACAAGACCTTCCTCGGTCGAATATACTTCCACAGGACGAGAATGTCAAGCGCTGACTGATAACACGTAAGTACGAGATATTTCAGCCTAAATAATAATCTACGCGTTGTTAAGCGACGCATACCAAAAATGACTCATACGCATATGAAACCAACAATCTTTAACCATTAGTCAACAAGGGTCGGATCTCATTCAAAGCGCTATTGTTGTTTGCCTTCATATGTACAAGTTGTTCCCAGTCAGTGACCAAAAATGTAACGTAATCAGCCTTTTAAGGACTTTATAACGACTTTATAACGACAATGTCGCTAGCATAGTGTATTTAGAAACTGGATCGAACTCGATCCAACCTTGTTATTGTTTCAGCCATATGTCTTGTTGACTCAGGGTTAAATACCCCTGGAATACATCGCTGATCGTAAATTCGACATTAATCGCCGAGGTAATACTAATTTCCGGGTTTTCGTGAATCGCAGTCGCGATGTGTGTAATCACCGCGATCGGGAGTTAACGACTCCGATACATGTACGCAACTCGTACCGTTGGGCGCGCAATGGCCGCTTATCAGGATGCGCGCTTATATCACGATCATAGTGTATTTATTACTGGCACACTGACGAAGCTCGTTATCACGCGCGTTTCCGTGTATTGACATTAATTAGTGATAACAATTGCGGCGGTAGCTCGCGCGGAAACTGCGGCAACCGTTGCTCGCGCGCTGCTCGTAAATTTCCATGAAAGACGCGCGACACGCGGCCTGACGAACGTGCGGCTGAGGGGAAGCAGGGGGTGAGGATGGGTTGGAAAAAGGTTGAAAGTAACTGAGTTCGCAAGAGATACCGATCGGACGCAAATGAAAATCCTGCGCGACGATCGGCAGCTAATTTGTGCGCTGGTAAGGTAAAAGTACCGAATAACGCTACTCACTCAAATAGCGCCACTTTAACTTGTTTTGTACACCTAATAAAATATATCTGATTAAAAGAGTCAAAGAATTCCGAGAAAGCAATCGTGAAAGTATATCAAATGGCTCAAAGCAAGTATGTGAAAATATAACGTTATTTTCCGTGAAGGGCAGTTTCAAAAGCTCATATCGAGAATCCGTCACTTTTGATTATCTACGATATGAGCTTCTTTTTAAGTATCTACTATGATAAAATAACCTGTAGAATGATAAAATGAGATATTTTTGGGTTGTAATACAAAATGTTTTAGTTTTGTATGATTAATATGAATTAAACTGAATTAAAAATTCCTGCTGAATTAAAAATAATAAAATAATAAAATATTATACAATTATATGGTTTTTGTATAATATAATAGAGGTGGCGGATTTATGTGCACATAAAAACATTATGTACACAAAACCGTCATAGATATGCAATAACATTTTAAAACAAATTAGTAGGAGTTAAGATGCTTATTATTTTGAATTAATAAATATATATTTGAATATATAACAGATATAAAAATTTCATTTCCTTTACTATAATTAACTATATTAGAAACAGATTAGATAAGGTGACGTCATTTGGGACATAGTAACGTAAATCGAGACATTCCAACAATTTCAGTGGGCGTAATTCGGTACATTTGCAGTTCACACTTAATTTTTGTATACATAAATAATTTTGTTTATGTTCAATTTTTATACGTTTTACTAATTTACAATATTAACATTAGATAAAATTTATAGACTTACCTAGTACCGCTTTGTTTTTTTTTAATAATCTCTTAAAAATTAGTTCTTGTTTAGAGTGACGTAATTCGGTATGTTTACTTTATCTGTCCAGATTCGATCATGATTACCGCAAAAAGCGCTGATAATTTTCACGAGGTTGACGGGGACGCGCGGTGCGCGTTGCAGGGCGAACCCACCGCCGATAATTATCGATGTGGTCGGTTCACCACCCGCGAAACCGCCGCTGCAGCGGAAAGGGCAACAGCTGCCCCGGCAACATATACCCGGTGTCCCGCGAGTCTCGCGGTATTGCGGGAGATCCGTACCGTGTGACGAGCGGCGCGACGCGGCCTCGCGTGACGGAACTTTGGTGATTTAAGACGAGCGGCGGTGATTAACGGCCTATCGACAATATCGAGAACAGCCCTTGTAATTGTAAGAGCGATTCGATGTTAGTTGCCGACCGGTATCAATTAGTTTCGCTCATTACCGTTAATTATTGCGGGGAGGGAACGCCGCGGGGGGAGAGAGAGAGAGAGAGAGAGAGAGAGAGAGACGCGGTAGTGTTCCAATCCTTTCGGCTGGATATGTAGATGCCGAGCCGGAGACCGGAGTTGAGGCTGATTGGTTTTGTTGGCTCGCCGTTTAGCGCAATGCACGGCTGCAGGGAATTCTCGCGATTCTCACGTGGGATACCGCGGGCTTTCTTTCTACATTAAGTTTGCTTCACTTAATTTCTGCGCGGAGAGAATATATTATAGCTTTTCTTTCATATAAATTCTTCTCGATTTTACTATGTTTCTAATGAGGTAGAAGGTAGCAGATGGTCAGTAAGATATATCTTGCAAATTTTGCTGGAAACAGCTAATATTTTAATAACATATTTCAGCTCCCAGAATATAAGTAGAACATATAAAACAAACTTTCTTAAAGTGAATTAGTGAATAGTCACTGATATCAGTTATGATTATAGCACTTTCAGTGCTATACTTATGACTGCAATCAGTGTAAATTCACAGTTTTCAGTGATATTTGACTGATTCATTTTAAGAAAGAAATAATAGTCATTTATCACAGAATATCGATCTATTCCTTATAAAATACAAAAAAAAATATAAAATTCTGCAGCGATTCTGTACTATAAAATTCTTTTCGTGTAGAAAGAGAAAAATTAATAATAATTAAGAATAATTTTATGATAATAATAATTCTTTAGGGAACGCTGAAGAGAGTAACAAAAAGAAATGCTAAAGATGCATTTTTCAGAAAACGCTGTAAAAATCATTGTAAAAACATGTTATAGAAATCCTTTCAAAAACATCGACGTACGATTCGTCATGACGGGCTGCAGTGAAAAACAACACACAAAATAATTCAATGCTTTTCATACAGTTACTTTAAAGCTATTTTAGTTCGCGTTATTTTAGACGGAGTGGCGATTCGATATATTTTTTGATGGTAGCATGAGCAACGTGCTACCGATAAATCGCGAATTGTTCCGCGCGCCGGCCGTGTTATCGGCCGGCGGTTATCACAATCGAAAATACGAAACATTTTACTGCATGGCATGCGACGTAAACCGTCACATCTAGTGCACACGATAGACGTAAACAACGGCCGTCATACTTTCGTTATCGAGTCGGCTTTTATCTGAGACACGAAATTGAAAACGAAGTGTCCCTCCGAGCACGGATTTTCCGACTGCACGAGAACGGTAGAAATTTGCGGGGAATGAGTCGAAATACGGCCGAGACGAAGCACGAGACTACGGCCGGAGCTGTGCTCAAAATAATTGAAGAAGAAGTTAGCGTTTTTTGAGTTCAAAGGGCCCGTAGATATCGATTTATCGAGATTCAGAGTGCCAGACACGTCGTCGGCGGTGCAGCATCTGTTCCTCGAGATATTTTCCAGAGCCGCCATCACCATGGTCTGGTCGTACCGTTACCTGAACACTTCTCACTTCTTTTTCTCATCCACCAACTCTTCCCCCTCCATTTCCCTCCTTCTCCTCACCCGGTCGCGACCTGAGAGCGCCTTTATTCCGCGCGGCAATTAAAATCGTCCTTTGATGCCGGTCGCCGGATGCCCGCCAAGAAGAGAATTCCACGCGTCGCCATAAAGATTATCCGCGAGCTCTTGTCTTGTGCTTAGAAGAAGGTTACTCGCCCTTATCATCGCGTAAAAAAAACATCAGGGGAATGCGCGTAGCGTAGGAGACTCGGCACGGAAAGTACGAAAGAGCCGGTGTTTCTCTAAAGAGTCATCTACAATGGGATTGAGAATATTACAAGAATAATCGACTGTGGTTGATCACTTTGCTTACTGCTTACATCTTACTGTCTACTGCCAATCCCATTGCAGATGAACCTTAAGTTTATTCGCTCGAGCTAAGATGCTTAAAATTTTACGAGGATTTGACGGTATATTTGTCGCAGTAGAACATATTTCCACTTGAAGTTCCATGTGACTCGTTTGCGCCGTTAATGAGATATTTAATACTGAATATCGTAATTTTACGCAATTTTATGCAATAGAAGCAATACAGATGACTATTATTCTAGTATAGAGAGTGATAGCAGCCATCCGAGTAGAAAAACTGATCGTTACAATTGTCGCGTATCAAAAAACGCGGTTAGCGAAATAAATGAATGAAAACGTAACTTTGTTCGGTAAATAATGAATTTATGAGCAGCTTCTTTGATGCGCTACTGAAAATACGCTCCTTGCGCGCCCTGCAGGGGCGCTTACCTGGCGAATGGTCTCCTTAAAAACCCAATGTCGACGCGAAATCAATCGTGCGCTCGCATCGCATCGAGAGCGATTGGCGGCGGGAACGGCTGATTATTCTTCGCGAGGGGGATCGCGATTACGCAATTATTTAATCGCGTGTACAATCTGAGCGTGCACGTGTTCGGCAACGAGGTGAAATGTTAACACGGCGAGTGACTCCGTCAAACGAGTGGGCGTAAAATCGATTCCGCACACGGTCGACGAGCGTCGGTACGAGCTCCATAAAAATTACGTGCTGACGAGCGTTCCCGAGATAGATAATTAGCGAAGCTATTGTTGCCAGTTAACATACACACACACACACACACATGTATATACACCAGGCGCGCGCACACACGCGCACACACACGCAGGCTCTATCGCAGTGCGGGAAATAGCTGTTTAGATAAAACTCGTGGAGAAAGAATGGCGGTGCCGGCATATTTCGATGTATCGCGATACGTATTCATGAAGTTATCGTTGACTCCTTCAACATCGTCCTGTTTGTACGGCGCGTTATCTCCCGCGCTCAAAGCAACGATAAGAACAATACATTTGTCATAAAAACTTGCGAAATTCATCGGTCACATCCCGCCCGATCTCCCCGAACGACCCT